ATGATAAATGTATCATCAACGTAGCGGAACCAGACTTTTGGTTTTAAGGGGTAAGATTCTAGGGCTAAAGACCCAAAGGCTTCCATGAAAATGTCAGCAATGACAGGGGAAAGGGGAGAACTCATTGGTGTTCCAGATATTTGTTTGTAGTAATTGCCTCTAAAAGAAAAAATATGTTGAAAGGAGGCATTTTTCCGCAAGATCTGCCAAAACCAAAGACTTGTTATCATTGGTCAAGTGATCTCGCAGAACAACTAGAGAGTCATGTATGGGGATATTGGTAAATAGGGATGATACATCGAAACTGACGAGAATGTCTTGGGGATCGACTGTGAGGGAGGAGATTAAGGTGATGAAATGTGTGGAATTTCGGACATAAGAAGAGGTACGACCAGTATAGGTCTTAAACTGATTCGACAAGTACTTTGCGAGTTTGTAGGTAGGAGAGTTACTCGTAGTCACAATGGGACGAAGAGGTACGTTGTCTTTATGGATCAAACAATCCGATTTTTCCGATGATGTTAAGAAGTCCATAGTTCCGAGAAAAACTCCATCTGCCCCAGAATTTACGGTCTTCCCAAAAAGATAACCCATGAACTTTGCGGATAACCAAGTCGTCCTCGCTCAAGATTCTTATGATCTAGAATGTATGATAATTTAATATATAAAGTGTCTTTACAGAGAATATGTAAAATGAGGGTTACAAGTCGGCATGAAGAAAACAGAATATTAAGTTATCAATTCAGATGCAAGGTTTGAAGTGTTGATAGAAAAGGACGTGGAGATCAAACAAGTGGAAAAAATTAAATATTTAAGTACACTCATTGCTAAAAACGGGTTGGGAGAAACCGAAAGTCAACACCGAATTAATCAGTGACGTAAAATTGTAGGATAGGGCAGACCATGGTTGAATCAGTCCTTTGTTGTGGCTCTGAAGTATAGACAATTAATGCAGATCTGAAGAGAAAATTGTTGGCAGTTGAAATGGATTATTTGAGAAGAAGTGCTAGAACATCAAGGCAAGAAAGGAAGACCAACGAATCTATAAGATATAACATAATTGCTACAGAAACGGTCATAGACAGAATAGAAAGAAGAGGTTTGAAATGGTTTGGACATATATTGAGAATGCCTGACGAACGTTGGTCTCAAAAACTTCACAAATGGAAAAATCTGGAAGAAGAAAAAGAGGTAGACCTCGACGCTCATGGAATGAAGGAATTAGAAGACTGATGGAATCTAGAGGTCTGAAGGAGCATGCCTTGGACCGGGAGGATTGGCGGAGTAGAACGGAAATACGGCGATAGCCGTCTCCAAAATGCATTGTATTTACAAGTTGGAATAATGTCAAACGTCAATAAACTTATTTTAACCTTCGATTGTGGCTTATTCCCATTAAAATAGTAATTACTTAATACCACAAGAAAATAGATCCAGAACAATAGATCTAGATTAAAGAAGGGAGTGTTCCAAAAATTTCGTCAGCCTTACAGCGGCCACCCCACTTTCAGAGTACGGTACGTGCCACAAGTAAGAGAGGGTGGTTTTAGTTGGCACGAAAATAGATACCTGAATATTTGGTACTGCTATCTTTAGTACTTTGAATTAAACTAAAACCCAAATTTTAGGGACTCAAAATGGAGGTAGCATAAAAAAATTTCAAACCCACCCCCTCAGACAAATTTTGGGTGCGCCACTGGATTGTTTTATAACAAAACTGCAACAATTTCTTCATATTCACGCACAACGTCGTTAGACGCCATTTTTAGGTTGACATATTGATTCAATTTTAATTGAAATATGTGAACAATAATTAATTTAAGTTGTTTTCAACTTTTGTTGATCAACTAAAATTTGTCCAACTAAACTTGACTCGTGAGAACGCGCCTTAACACTAGAATAAATCAATCAATCAAGTTTCATCCACTAACACTAGAATAAATCAAGTTCTTATGAATTTCCGTAAACATAAACGTTATATTTACCTGTAATACTGTATTCATTTCTGTACTTATTAATATTAGTGCATGCAATTCTCCGACGGTCTCTTAATTTCAATACAATTTTCTCTCACATCACGCAATCTGTTATAAATACTACTGAGAAATTGCAGGAAATGATTATAATATTAAATAACAGAATTAATCAGATTTGTAGAACATGTTCATCGGAAGATAACTTCAAAATCAGGTTACGCACTTATATAATAATAGAATTTATCTATTGTGTGCTTCTCGGGTGAGGAAATTTATCTATAATTATTTCAACTGTACCAAGCAACGTCGATTAAAAATATTAATTGTATTTAAGTAGTATCTAGACTTGACAGTTGAGCAACACGTTATTGTTAACAGCTAATAACAGTTTAGAAATGGCAACTGCACTATATTCATTATAGTAACAAATAGTCTGCTAAAGTTAAGGACCACGTTTATCTTCTAGAGAACCGCTAAATCCCAAGGACTAAAAAACGAAATGAACTAACTCTTCTCTTTTTAATTCAGATAAGACACGTTTATCTCTGACAGTTGGTCATAAGACCTTTGTACCACGCCCTGTTTTTTTATTAAACCCCAATGAGTCATGTGACTTGAATGAAGACCAACAGTTTCATCATTGGTAGTTTTAAGATCTCTTTTGGTTCAAAAGAGATCCTGTCATTCGTCAAACCCTGCCTCCTTTCGGGTCGTCGCCTTTCTTCTTGTTCCTTTCTCTCCCACGTCCTCTTCACATATCTCTGAACTGCTCTTAACCGATCTGACGACCTAAGCATCTCCTACACCAATTCCGTCGTAACTGATTACTTCCTAGCTCCCTCTCAAGCAGACTCTTCTCGGCTATCCATTTATCGCATACCAGTAGAGTGTGTGAGACAGTGTCCGATATTTCACAAGCATTTATCATTTTCTGCCTTTCTCAATCTGTAAAGATATGAATTAACCATGTTCTGTGAGCATCTGCGTCAGGAAATAATCCAAATACGATATCCGCAGTTCACCCATCTTTGCAGATTAGGAATCAGCAACTTCGCCACTGCGCCACTCTTATCATCTCGTCCCATTCCTGTTACCACACCATAAAGGACCTCTCCATTTCTTCTGTTTTTAAAAATTCTCTAGCTATGTCTTCATTTATTCTCTCGTATACACCCGGTGATAACTTCCAGCGTCTCAGCAGAGACTGTTCGGCATTCACATGCCACCCTTAAAAGACTCTTCCTATCTGCTCGGGTGAGCTGCCTTCTGTACGCCTTTGTTAAAACTGCAGTACCGCAGACGAAACCGCGAAGAGGACGATCGAGGGCATGATCCTCCAACGCGGCGCATCTCACCGCAGCTCTTTGATTCCCCGCCTTTACATACTCCCCCCACCTTCAGTTTTGGCTCAGACTTACACTTATAAATCTCACGCATTTCTTTGAAACCACTGTCTTTTCTGCACATTCAATTGTTATCCCGTCCCTTTTCCTTGCTCCCTTGAGAACTGTAGCCTCAGTCTTACTCGCCGCCAGTTCTAGTCCATGCATTTTCATCCATTTCTCGACTTGGTCGCATGTACGCTGTGCACCGAAGATAAGGTCCTGCCTGTTGCGCGCCACTAGCAGTATAGCGAGGTCGTCCGTAAATTCGAAAGGGGTTACACCTTCCCGGTACTGTTGGCTCACCACCCCGTCGTATGCCAGGTTGGACAGCTTGGGTCCTAGGACCGACCCCTGCGGCACTTCTGCCGTCACGTCAAACACCACTTCTTTTTCTACCCCAATTTTCCTCTCTGACAGATAGTGCGAGACGAAATTTATCAAGTACTTCGGACACCGTCTCTCTCGTAAAGCCTTCGTTACCTCTTTCCATTTTAATGTGTTAAAAGCATTCCGGACGTCAAACAACAGCAGGATCGCCCACTTTTCGTCGCGTCCACCGTACTCCTGTTCTTTCTGAAACCGTACTGCCTGGGTGACAGCCCGCTTGACTCTTCAATGACTGTATTGATTCGCCCTCTTAAACCTCTCGTATAATATACCTATGCACGATAGACTGCAAACAGCTCGATACTTGTCTTCTCCCTTCGGGAGGAGCACGAGCCTCGAGATCTTCCAATTTGCCGGAAATTGCTGAGTTTCAAGCAGTGCATTCATGATTTCCAAAAGCCACATCAGCTCCCGACTGCCAATGCGTTTCACCGCTTCTGGTGGTATCCCATCAAGTCCCGGAGCCTTTCGTGTCTTTAGGACACTCAACACTTGGGTAAACGGTAACTCGGGTAAATTCAAGATTAACAGTCGAGTAACTGCGACTGTCCAGTCGCATCTCATACAGAGGGTACAGCTTGAACTGGTTCATTACTATTTTGTACCCGTGATCCCAATCGTTCTCATCCAACTTGTCACACAGTTCTCTCCAGTGCCTCTTATTCTCGGCTCGGATCTTCCTATTCAGTTCCTTCTTTCGCCCATTGTATACTATATCCAGTCTACTAGCTTCGATTACTTCTTTACTTTTTACCCTCGTAGCCTGTCTTCTGATAGCTATGCATTTCTTCCTTTTATTGTCGAAATTCATCGATTATCGATTCAATATCGATTCAAGAAACCTTGAAAATCGAAATATAATGACTTTAAAACGCTCATATGAACAAACTTCTGACAAAAGTTTTAAAAACGTAAACATTAAGTCGTTTTAACGGAACGGTTTTTTTTAACTCTAGAGCGAACGAGGCCTAAAAAGCTGATGATTAGGTTAATTTACTTTTTATTAATTTTATTCATATACTTTTGGTGTCAATAAGCTGAGAAATAAATGTCAGTATAATCGGTTTTTATTCGCGGAACAATTTATTTTCAAGGGTATCTACCTATAATTTTATAAGTGCTAGATATTTAATGTTACTGTCTTTTTACTACAATTAAAATGCCTACTATTTGTTTTTTGATTTCCCAGAGAAATTAAAAGTAATGACGGGAAATGGCGAGTAAATCATTTCGATTTTTAATCTCTACTTACCTATATTGATATTGCATAAGTGTAGTCGTTAATTGATTCTCCGGATGTACAACTTTTTCTCGTTTTATGGATATAACCACAGGACCAAGCTGCTCATCCATTCCAAACCAGTTCTGGTGCTCTGAAAGGAAATGGTAACGGATATGTAATCACATAGGCGTAACAGTGAGATGAATAAAAAAAATAAAAATAAAAAATATATTAACTAGCTAAAACAGGGGCTTTTGTTTTAACTGGTGTTTAGTGAAAGGAAACGTTAAATATTTATATTTACCTAAATACTTGCACTTTTCGTGTTCTATTAGAAATGTTTGTTTTATACTATTATGAATTACTCGTAATATAAAATTATCTTTATATTGTATTTACATGGGATTAAACCACAATTTAGTGTAATGAAAAAGTAAATTTGACATTTTTTTGGACGTTTCGATTTCCACTCCAAAAATCATTTAAAAAAAAATTAATAAGGAGTTATTTTAACCTGTAGTTGTTTATTAATGGACAGCAGGAGTGTGACGTCACATCTGTCATAACTTTCCAAACAAAAGTTGAAATGTCAAATCTCAAGAGTTTTTAATTTGTATAAAGTTAACATTATGTTTCCTCTGCTACTTTTTCTTTTAAGTTTAGTGTTTTTTACGATAATATCATCTCAATAATCAAGAACAATTCAGTGTTCTATTTCTATGAAATATAGTTTAAAAGTATACATTAAAGAAAGTCCAACCTTACTTTATTGATGCATTCATTTTATTGCTATTTTTATAAAAAAAACATGCTATATTATTTACACAACCTTGTAAAATTGTTGTAGTAACTATTAGAATACTTAAATATTAAAAAAAAACGGAAAGATTATGTAAAAAAAATTAAAAATAACGAAAAATACAAATTATCCACATTAAACAACGTTTATTTCGAAAGTGAAACTGACAGATGTCAATCAAATCTACGTCATCACTCCGGCGGTCCATTGGAGCTTTGTTTAGCCAATTGACAGGTGACTGATTTGGCCTCGATCTTAGAGCCAAGCAGCCTTGTTTTGAGTTAAAAATTCTGAAGGTGATATCAAATTCTGCTTTTTGTATGTTCACCTGTTAGTATTATGTGTTTATGTGATATGTGTATTCTTGTTGCTGACTTCTTGTTTTAGTATTGGTAAACAGGAGTCTGCTTTATTTATTCTGTTGATGGATTTGCTATACATTTTTCTTCATTGAGTACCTAAGATAAGGGGCGCTTCCTTGATTTTTCTCTTTTTTTTGACTGTTTCTTTCATGGTTATTAAGGCATCGTTCCATTGTACTGCTCTAGACATGTTTGCATATCTGGGAAACCTACCGAGGTCTCTGTTTTTGATGTATGGCTCATGCTCGTTTATGCTGACACTTAGTGGTCTAGCGGTTTCTCCCACAAAAAAATTGTTACATTTACAAAGTATTTTATAGTTCTTTGATCATTTCTGAGTTTGGTGTGGATTTGGGCAGAATAGATCTCAGTGTATTGGCTTTTGGAATGTCGTTGTGATGTTGCAGTTATTTCATATCCTTTTTAATTTTTCTGGTGAGCCTTTTACTATGGTGTTGTTTATGGTCTTATGTTGTTTCCTTTTTTCAATATTGCGAAATTCCTTGTTTATGAATGACAATATATAATCATTTTTTGTTAAAACCTTTGTTAAGTGTGTGCTAAGCTTGTGTCAAGTCTCCTAATGGCGAAACAGAAAATAAATACATCGTAAAGACATTTGTTGTGAGACTCTGCAATGTATCGAAAGTGACCCCTCTTTTTGGTCAAGGGTGATAACTTGTGAGGAAAAATGGATTTTTCAATATAACCTTAAAGCCAGTGAGTTGTCGTTCCATCGTTTTCGTGATCTTCCTACTGATCGTCTTCCTATGGGGGAACCGTCTCTTGTCGTCTTTTCCGCTCTATTTGTTGTCATTCGGCTTATATGATTGTTCCTTTCTACTCTTCTATTTCTTACCAGTTCTTGATGTTTTCCACTTTGCATCTACGTCGTATATCTGTACTTGTAGCTCTGTTCCATAGTGCGTTACCATCAATGTTTCTAAGTGTTTTAATCTCTGCTTTTTCTAACATCATTTTTGTCCTGTCTGTGTCAGGTCTTGTCTCTGCCGCGTGTCATTATTGGTCTGATGACCGTTTTGTAAATTCTGCCTTTCATTTCTTTCCCGATATTTTTATTTCTCCCTACTGTTTCATTCAGGCAGCCAGCGGCTCTGTTTGCTCTATTCACTTGATCTTCTACTTCAGTTTCGAGCTTTCCGTAGCTAGATAATGAGTTTATAAAGTTAAATCTTCTTCTTCTTAGAGTGCCATATCCCTACGGAACGTCGACGACTACCATGCTTATAATATTGTTATACTGATCTCGGTCTTGCGCTACGTGTAGCAATTGGTCCGCTGTCAAACCTGTCCACTGCCGCAAATTCCTCAACCAAGAGAGTTTCTTCCGTCCTATCCATTTCTTTCGTTCGATTTTACCGTTGAGAATTAGCCGAAGGAACTCATATTTTGGTCCTCTGATTATATGTCCAAGATATTCTAGTTTACGCCTCTTAATAATATTTAATAGAGTTCGTTGATGTCCCATTCTTCGAAGAACTTCTTCGTTTCTGGTTCTGCTAGTCCATGGAATTTTTAGTATCCTTCGATACAACCACATCTCAAACGCCTCGATTTTATTCATGATATCGACGTTTAAAGTCCAAGTTTCACATCCATACTAGTGATGTAACGAATATTCGCATTCGCATTCGCATTCGCGAATATTCGCATATTTTTGCATATTCGCATTTGCATTCGCATTCGCAAAAGTTGTGCGAATGTTTTGCGAATATTACACAGCTTGCATTTAGCTCGTTCAGTATCGAAAAGTGGTAAAAAATAAGTCCATATTTCACTATAATTTGATTTACTCATAGTAATAAATCGCTAATCACACTTTAACTAAAAATTCACTTGTATTTGTGCACGAGCAGAGCAGGGCAAGTGGAGTGACTTGTGTCCCGTGAAATTTTTATTGGAACTATAACCAGAGAACTTAGTTCTCTGCTATAACTTTCTCTCTATAACAAGTCATATTTGATTATAACAAGAGAAAATAAGATCGAAAAACGTGCTTTCTACGTTTTTGGCCCGGACGTGACTATAAATAAATACCTTTTTAAACGACCCCTCGATAAACTTAACCGCCTACAATAAACTTCTTTACAATAAATACAACTGTTTCACATCTTTACCTTAGCAAATATGATAGAATGATACTGGACAATTTATAGCAGTTAAAAATGACAGACTTTTTCCAATTGCCTACACACCTCGCGCAAATGAGACTGCCGGCAGTACCGGAGACAATTAAAATTGCCAAATTAAAAAAAAAACTGAATATTCGCATTCGCATTCGCATTCGCGAATGTCGGTGGCATATATTCGCATTCGCATTCGCATTCGCGAATGTTTAAAAAATGACATTTGTTACATCACTAATCCATACAAAAGTACAGACCACACGTAACATCTTGTAAACTTTTCACGGATTTCCAAATTTAATGAGTTATTGGATAATAGAGGCTTAAATTTTTGAAATGAGTTTGTTGCCTGTTCAATTCTACATCGAATTTCGAAGGATGGATCTAGATTTTGGGTAATCCAACATCCAAGGTATTTGAATCTCTGAACTCTCTGCAGCGGTTGTTGATTTAATATCAGTTGGGTTGCGCCGATATCCACTTTACTGGTCACCATGTATTTAGTTTTATCGATATTTATCGACAGTCCCCAATTTGTGCATTTCATGTCAACTCTATTGATTCGCTCCTGCAGATCGTCGATGTTTTCAGCTAGAATCACAGTATCGTCGGCGTACCGTATATTGTTAATTATTTCTCCTCCTATGATAATTCCTTTTTGATCTTTTAAAGCTTCCCTAAAGTTAAATAATGTAACTCAAAGTTAATTTAACAACATTTAAAGGGTTTTTATCCATGTATTTAGTGGCTTAAAACATGCACGTCCAGTAAGCATTAACCACATGTTTGTAATAACCTTAGTCAAAATGTTAAATTTCTTGTTTGCTTCAATTAAAGTGGTTATACTTTTAGTATAGCACTGATGATGAAATATTAATTTCGAAAACGTTCTGTGATGCAGGGTTTTTTAATATTATAAATAAGCTCTGATAGGGTTTTTTTAATATTATACCTTTTAGAAAGAAAAAAAAATTATTGGACTCCTATAACGAATTAGTCCTTTGTAATGAACAACGAGCAATTAAACTTGGTTGTGTTTGTAAGAGGAGTTTAGATAAGCAAAATATCGATAGTGTGTACTTTACCTAACTACTACTAAAGCACATTTTAAATATGTGGATATATCGTCATAATTTTCGTGCAAAATTAATAGAAAAACCATAAAATAAATCCAACCACAAAAACGTGTATTTTACTTTAGAAGTTAGGCTAAGTTAAACCAATACTTGTAAAATGAAACCAATTAGTTATTTTGTTATGATTTTTTTAATTAAGTAATACTTTCTCCGCCCATGGAATGTTATTGATACCTGATGGTGTAATGTGTTCAAGACATTGACATTGATACTATGTCAAGTAAAAGTTATTTTCATATAAATCAAAGGCATCTCGTCTTCGAGTTTCTGCCAAGGTTCCATGCGTGAGTTGGTTTATTTTTTGCTACCTGGATTAGTTAAATATTCTTGAGATACTGACACAAATTTAGAAACTGGAATTTGTCGAGATTCGTTGTAAATTCTTGGCGAACGAATATGTGTTTTCTATTATGAAACGAAGCTATGTTGTTTGAAAGACTTTAAATAAATACAGATTGAAGTTGTTATTGAATTACATACAGATATGGCTGTTTTTGCGAAAACTTTTATAATTGCTTTTAGAACGTATACAACTTTTCATATAAACCGTAGTGACGTAAATAAATCGTTGCTAGTTCCATTCCAATTGGTCTATATTAGTTTCTTAAACTTTATTAGAGAACAGCCTCTTCCAATATTGTTCCCAGACAGCTGCAATATCTCTTCAGTGGTTAGTCTAGTTTTTCCACAACAATCTTTCATGATCT